GTTACCTATTTCGTTCTTTTGCTTTTTGAGGACACCAGCTTAGGTTTCATAATTATTGTTCATTATCTTTTGTAATCAAATTTGAACCAGAAATGTCCACATTTTTCTTATGTTTTAGCAATAGTTGCCCGTCTTATTCTGAACCAGCACGATCCCTTGGTATAAGAAAAATAAAATCCTAACTGCATAGAATTTGCTAATGTGAGTAAAAGGAGGAATGACAATGTGTAAGAGGAGATTCTCTATCATAAGCTGACACGATACACACAAAAAAAGTACCAAACCAACACCAACATGCCTTAAGAAACAAATAGGGCTTCAAAACATTATGTCATGGTGTAAATCTAATGATAAAATAGCCAGACTATTCACAAATACCTTGGAAATACAAACACATAAAACTCACATAGATGAAGATGGCAACAACACACTGGCAAACATCGCTTTTTGATGGCATTGAATGTCATTAGTGGTTGACCAAACTCTTAAAGTCATAGCTTCACGTCTGTATTGAGTTACTTGTGGTTAGTGGAGACTGGAATGTAATTCTGAATCAGCAAGTTCAACAATAAGATAACAATATAACAACCCAGCAGAAATGGTTTTCCGAAAATATGAAATCTCTCAATTCAGCTGATTGATGGAAGGGATATGTAGATAGAAACAATAACAAACTGCATGTCGGGAAGATGACCTTGTACAAGAAGCTGGTAAATACTTGAAACAAGAGTCATCAGAAGATGACATATCCCCCCGGCCCCCACATCTTTGAAAGAACAAATCATCTGACAGTTACTTAAAGTCCAGCTTGATTTTAGACTAAGTGCAAATCGTTTCCATGGAAATCATGAAAAAAATAAATGACAAAAATCTGCAAATAGCAAAAGGCACCACTTTGGGATCTGCCTCACATATCTGCCAAGTTTTGCTGAAAGACATAGAGAAGTTTTCGAGTTGTGCTCCGGAAACAAAGCCCACCCCTCCCTTTTGAGACTAAGTCCAAATTGTTTCCATGGAAACTGAGAAAATAATAAAACACAAATATCTGCAAATAGCAAAAGGCACCACTTTGGCATCTGCCTCACATATCTGCCAAGTTTTGCTGAAAGATATTAAGAACTTTTCCACTTGTGCTCCGGAAACGAAACCCACCCCTTCCTTTTTGAGACTAAGTCTGAATCATTTCCATGGAAACTGAGAAAATAATAAATCACAAATATCTGCAAATAGCAAACGGCACCACTTTGGGATCTGCCTCACATATCTGCCAAGTTTTGCTGAAAGATATAGAGAAGTTTTTGAGTTGTGCTCCGGAAACGAAGCCCACCCCTCACTTTTGGGACTAAGTCTGAATTGTTTCCATGGAAACCAGAAAAGGAAAAAATGCTAAAAATCTGTAAATAGCAAAATGCACCACTATAGGATCTGTTTGATATATCTACCAAGTTTTGTTGAAAAATATAGAACGGTTCTTGAGTTATGCTCCGGAAACGAAGCCCACCCCTCACTTTTGGGACTACGTCCGAATCGTTTCCATGGAAACCGTGAAAAGTAAAAACGCTAAAAATCTGTAAATAGCAAAAGGCACCACTTAAGGTTCTGTTTGATATATCTACCAAGTCTTGTCAAAAAATATTGAACGGTTCTTGAGTTATGCTCCGGAAACGAAACCCACCCCTTCCTTTTGAGACTAAGTCTGAATCATTTCCATGGAAACCAAAAAATAATAAATCACAAATATCTGCAAATAGCAAAAGGCACCACTTTGGGATCTGCCTCACATATCTGCCAAGTTTTGCTGAAAGACATTGAGAAGTTTTTGAGTTGTGCTCCGGAAACGAAGCCCACCCCTCACTTTTGGGACTAAGTCCGAATCGTTTCCATGGAAACCGGGAAAAATAAAAATGCCAAAAATCTGCAAATAGCAAAAGGCACCACTTTAGGATCTGTTTGATATATCTACCAAGTTTTGTTGAAAAATATAGAACGGTTCTTGAGTTATGCTCCGGAAACGAAAGCAATCCTTACTTTTTGAGACTAAGTCCAAAATGTTTCCATGGAAACCAGAAAAGGAAAAAATGCTAAAAATCTGTTAATAGCAAAAGGCACCACTATAGGATCTGTTTGATATATCTACCAAGTTTTGTTGAAAAATATTGAACGGTTCTTGAGTTATGCTCCGGAAACGAAGCCCACCCCTCACTTTTGGGACTAAGTCCGAATCGTTTCCATTGAAACCGGGAAAAATAAAAATGCTAAAAATCTGTAAATAGCAAAAGGCACCACTTTAGGATCTGTTTGATATATCTACCAAGTTTTGCTGAAAAATATTGAACGGTTCTTGAGTTATGCTCCGGAAACGAAGCCCACCCCTCACTTTTGGGACTAAGTCCGAATCGTTTCCATGGAAACCGGGAAAAATAAAAATGCCAAAAATCTGCAAATAGCAAAAGGCACCACTTTAGGATCTGTTTGATATATCTACCAAGTTTTGTTGAAAAATATAGAACGGTTCTTGAGTTATGCTCCGGAAACGAAAGCAATCCTTACTTTTTGAGACTAAGTCCAAAATGTTTCCATGGAAACCAGAAAAGGAAAAAATGCTAAAAATCTGTTAATAGCAAAAGGCACCACTATAGGATCTGTTTGATATATCTACCAAGTTTTGTTGAAAAATATTGAACGGTTCTTGAGTTATGCTCCGGAAACGAAGCCCACCCCTCACTTTTGGGACTAAGTCCGAATCGTTTCCATTGAAACCGGGAAAAATAAAAATGCTAAAAATCTGTTAATAGCAAAAGGCACCACTATAGGATCTGTTTGATATATCTACCAAGTTTTGTTGAAAAATATTGAGCGGTTCTTGAGTTATGCTCCGAAGCTTGAAGCCCACCCCTCACTTTTGGGACTAAGTCCGAATCGTTTCCATGGAAACGGGAAAAATAAAATGCCAAAATCTGCAAATAGCAAAAGGCACCACTTTAGGATCTGTTTGATATATCTACCAAGTTTTGTTGAAAAATATAGAACGGTTCTTGAGTTATGCTCGAAAGCGAAAGCAATCCTTACTTTTGAGACTAAGTCCAAAATGTTTCCATGGAAACCAGAAAAGGAAAAATGCTAAAAATCTGTTAATAGCAAAAGGCACCACTATAGGATCTGTTTGATATATCTACCAAGTTTTGTTGAAAAATATTGAACGGTTCTTGAGTTATGCTCGAAACGAAGCCCACCCCTCACTTTTGGGACTAAGTCCGAATCGTTTCCATTGAAACCGGAAAAATAAAAATGCTAAAATCTGTAAATAGCAAAAGGCACCACTTTAGGATCTGTTTGATATATCTACCAAGTTTTGCTGAAAAATATTGAACGGTTCTTGAGTTATGCTCCGGAAACGAAGCCCACCCTTCTTTAAGACTAAGTCCAAAACGTTTCCATGGAAACCGAGAAAAATAAAAATGACAATAATCTGTAACTAGCAAAAGGCACCACCTTAGGTTATGTTTGACATATCTACCAATTTTGGTTAAAAAATATCGAACGGTCTTTGAGTTATGCTCCGGAAACAAAATGATTACGGACGGACAGACGGACGGACGGACGGACAGACGGACGAGGCGACGACTATATCCCACCGCATTACATGCCGGTGGGATAACAAGGGTATGCAGAGAGGATATGAACAAAGAATCTACAATGCAGTGATTGAAGATGTTATGAACATGTGTGACGGGAGGAAACACAGGATTACCTCCTTCCTCGAAGTACTACTCTGTAGTGGTACAAACACAGGTGTATCGGTACATCATCAAAATGTCTGGAAGTACTACCCTGTAGTGGGTACAAACACAGTGTATATGGTACATCATCAAAATGTCTGGAAGTACTACCCTGTAGTGGTACAAACACAGGTGTATCGGTACATCATCAAAATGTCTGGAAGTACTACCCTGTAGTGGTACAAACACAGGTGTATTGGTACATCATCAAAATGTCTGAAAGTACTACCCTGTAGTGGTACAAACACAAGTGTATCGGTACATCATCAAAATGTCTGGAAGTACTACTCTGTAGTGGTACAAACACAGGTGTATCGGTACATCATCAAAATGTCTGGAAGTACAACTCTGTAGTGGTACAAACACAGGTGTATCGGTACATCATCAAAATGTCTGGAAGTACTACCCTGTAGTGGTACAAACACAGGTGTATCGGTACATCATCAAAATGTCTGGAAGTACTACCCTGTAGTGGTACAAACACAGGTGTATCGGTACATCATCAAAATGTCTGGAAGTACTACCCTGTAGTGGTACAAACACAGGTGTATTGGTACATCATCAAAATGTCTGGAAGTACTACCCTGTAGTGGTACAAACACAAGTGTATCGGTACATCATCAAAATGTCTGGAAGTACTACTCTGTAGTGGTACAAACACAGGTGTATCGGTACATCATCAAAATGTCTGGAAGTACAACTCTGTAGTGGTACAAACACAGGTGTATCGGTACATCATCAAAATGTCTGGAAATACTACCCTGTAGTGGTACAAACACAGGTGTATCAATACATCATCAAAATGTCTGGAAATACTACTCTGTAGTGGTACAAACACAGGTGTATCGGTACATCATCAAAATGTCTGGAAGTACTACCCTGTAGTGGTACAAACACAGGTGTATCGGTACATCATCAAAATGTAACACTGATCACCTAAAGTGAAAACCATGTATCAGCAAGATATTGGAATGGATGATTGCTCAGAAAACCCTGTGGCTCCTGGGTGTAGGCACATTGACACTCCTTGCCATAGTTGGCCATATTCAAATGCATCAACCATACCTTGACTGCTAGGTCAAACTTAAAGAGTATATAATACCTGATATAATGTTTCAATTATATTGTTTATAGAGATGTCATGGCGAGTGGATGCAAGATGAAAGTACAGTATGTGTGTGTGACGGAGACAGAGAATTCAAGTAAACAACAAACAACTGATTAGCTTTGATTGGCCAGTTTATTTTTCACGACATCTCCATTATCACAGTTCACGTGGAATTTCACATGTCAGCACAAATTCATTACAGTACATTTAAAGCTGAGAAGTGATACACAGGTTTCCATGTGACAACAAAGAACATGAGCGACTGACAGAGATTACAGTATTTACATCATAACCCCATACTCTTCTCTATCAAAATGTCCATGTTACCCTATAACGATACGGTATTAACTGGGAAAATAACTGTCTTTATTCTATCTCTAATCTTGTTTCAGGGTGTCTTCTATATGTTCTCTTGTTCATGCTCCAGTCGAGTATTGTGAACATGTGTCAGTGTGTCTTTCACTCTACAGAATCAAGATGACCAATCTGAAAAACCACTCTGATATAACCAACACATTATGATGGCAGCCATCACTGACTCCAGGTTTCCAAGGACACATCTGCACCTGTATCTCTTCCATCCCTGTCCCTGCTTACACGACAGCCATACCCCTCAATCTACAGGTGTCACCAGTCATAGAGAGAGGAGGAGTACAAGCACCCTCTGGAATAGTATTTAGTATCTAAACAATAATCTCTGAGTGTCAAACCATTAGCTATTATGATGCCACTGAAGACAACCGTTAACAATTCCTGGAAACTGGTAGCATATCCAAGTCTTTATGATGAATGTCACTTCTCAGCTTTTAGCTTCAGTATTTGCACTGATCAACTGGCAAGATATGTCCCTGACTGGTAATACTTTGTGACACGCCTGGAGTGTTGTGGCAGCTGGCACCAGCCAGGTGACAGCATCGTGTGTAACGTCACCCAATGCAACCTCTCCCCTGCTGGAGGAGGAGGAGCACGACACAAGTATGTGCAACACTCACCAACATGATACAGCTTCCAGAATACCATGCTGACATGTTGCATGGCCATAGGGAAATACAATATTCACATTTTGATTACAAAGACCATATATATAATATTTATATATATATATTCAAATCTGATGCACCATACAACAGCACATATGCTGCAATGATGTAGAAATTCCTGCCAGAGTAAGAGAGATCGACATGCAACAAGGTAGGCCATTCTCAATGATTATTTCCTCATTCTAACACAGTGCTCAACCATTCTCTGGCTACATGGTATTCCAAATACAGGAACTCTTTAACAGTTTATAATCACTCAATATAACATGACAATAACACAAGAATAAAAAATCAAGCAGTAGTTTTGAAGCTGTTTTCACATAACAGAGATTAAATATTTTGTTCTAAAAGAATTGATGTCAGTAGAGATATCACATTCACTGTAAGCTGCTGATTACCAGGAAATAACCATTGAGGCCAGTGTGTATAGCAATACATCAACAAGTTGCCAACAAGCTTTCACACTATATATACAAAAGCCGGCTTTAATACAAATATACAAAGCTAGTGTGGTTAGCATATTCACATAAATGGAGCAGATCTTCCCACTCTTCTCCATCAAGGGCAAAGCCATTTGTGAAAAGAAATGAATGTACCAAACATACATTTGTCCAGCAAATGCCAGCCCCATAAAGTAACAAGCATTCAAATATTTATCTACCTGATTCTCAGCTAAACTGTCCTTCTATGACTCCTGTATTGACCCCATGTTCAAGATGTACAATCGTTATTAGAGTATGTATGACAACAGTTGTTCATAAGGACTACTCTCTTTCCCCTTTAAAGAATGAAGATGTGTTTATTTTACAAGATTAGATGGACAGTGTTTTCTGGCTACACATACATTATTTCATATAGGATGTGTAAAACAATCTAGAAATATCCAAGGAATAACACATCTGTCCCTTAAGCAGGCACATGCATTGGATGAAAGGGTTTGTAAAATCCCAAGTTACAATAAATGTGAATAAGAGCACTTGTTGGGCAATGCACTTGTAGGTTCCTGATGACAGAGGTGGAAATGGGGATGTCTCTATGCTCCAACACCAATACTCCTTACTTGATGGCTGACAGAAAGCACGACTGTGTCATTCCTCAGAGTCCACACAGCAAGGCCACATATTACAAACGTATGTGTTGAAATGTCTGTATAGCTATACCTTCTTATACATATATATCGGAGAGATTCCTGTTTGACCTTTTACAGAAACGCTGTAGTAATCCTGTGTTCAGCTATGGAGCCCTACAGAAGGGGTAATAGAAGTAACGTAGCCAGTAGTTAAGTTTCACACACTCAGCCACAACACTCTTATAAGACAAGGACATGTGAAGTGTGTGTAACTACCCTAAATATTGTCCACTGCCAAAGATGCAAAGTTTAGCTGCCTTGTTTATTTTGGCGTATGACTTCCACTTGCCATCAGCAAGCTGCACACATGCCACAAGTGGGTCATGGTGGATCTACGGCTCCAAGTCTTCCAGAGGCGTGCTACAGTAATCCTCACAGCTACAGAATACTAACAACACTAAAGTATCTGCAAACTTGATTCATATCCTGATGGGCAAAACAAAGCATATATGTTTGAACCCTGACACGGTGCAGCATGGCGGTGAGACACGCCTCACCACTCACTCTTCTTGCACTACTGGTTCATCACTAGTGTACACTTAAAGGTCAAAGTGCTGTTACATGCTTCAGCATTTGGTTGTAACTTGAGTATTTTGATATGTTTCATGTCAATATTCATTCTTCTTGACCTAATACTTTGTGCTGATCTCAGTATACCTAAACCAGCAGATGCTGCAACTGGTAAACATCAACCAAACTGAACATTCATCACATCACATCACCATGTTTTTCAATGGTCGACTCAAGACAAAAAATAAACAACTCTCCTATGTAAGAAAATGACTTGTGATCTGATTCTGGGGTAAAATATTGAGTAATGTTCCAGGTCACAGTGGTTTCAGTTGAACATGTTTTTGTTTAAGTTAGCATGAGGGACTAGATGACTAAAACATTCATAATCATTACTGAAGACAGCCAAGTAAGCATTATAAATGGAGCACTACAATCTGTCTTTACTTGTACTACAAGGATTGTACAACACAGAAACGTCACCACAAGTTCTGAATGAAAGACTGATAACAAAACATAACTACAAAGATTTGCTGTGATGGAGAGATGCACACTTAGTCATCATCAGTATTTTGTCTTCTGAGATATGTACATGTACATGTTACCTTGCATGGTGTAAGTACACCCCTATAATTGTGAAGCAACAATGATTGTCAGCTCGCCCCTTCTGCTCAAGTCTGTCATACCTGTAGAACTACTTATTGTATACATCAATGAGTTTTCCTGGCTATGATATAAGCATCAACAAAAAGCTGCTATGTCCCAGGCTCTGCATCCAGTCTGCCCTGTTTACGTAGAGTTGATGGCAGTCTGCCTGCTTCCCAGTTTATATACATGTCATGTACAGAGCTAGCTTGCTGTAGTGTCTCTCAGCTGATGACTGATGCACTGATCACACACACATGCTACATAATATCTGTCTCTTTCCTCACAACCAGCTGCTATTTCTTCTTTGAGTGAAGCATCTCCAGGAGCAAGGTTTGGTCAGGCACTTCTCCACTCAGATGTTTATAGTAGAGAAATTCCTCTCCTTGAATACTAATGAGACGGATTTCAGGAAGTCGCAAAAGTACTTGACCAAATTTGTCCTTCATTTCTGGGTAGAAATTAAGGCAATATTCAAGGAGTGCAGCATTTACTTTTTCCTGGCTCTGCTCGACATAGTGACGGTTTTCCAATCCTGACACATCTACAAGATATAAAACAGAGAGTCATACACTGTATCAAGAGGCGGAATGACAAATGATACAAAACAATACAGAAACATGCAAGAACAGCTATACGTTAGGTAACAGAAAAGCCATCTACATTGAGATGTCAGCATCTTGAGTAAGTTGTAGTGTAAGAGAGAACCACTATGGAACTTGTGAATGTCAATCTTAAGAAAATCAGCTGACAAAACATACACACTTTGGTATCAAATGCAATGTTGTATGCTGCAGTGATGACAGAGTTCTGTCACAGCTGGTCTCCAGGACATTCCTAAATGGTGTCAGTGTCCACACACAAAAATTCTTTACCTCAAATGACATATTTTCAGGAATAGTTGCAGAATTAGCTAGTTAAAGTCCTCATGAAAGTGTTAACCATACCATGCACAGACTGACATATTTCTACATAACAGGCATACCAACTGCCTGGTCACTGAATCACACATTACTTCATAAGTGCTTGTCTCACTAGAAGTCTAACTTACACTTTTCAACATGGCAGTCACACAGACACATCAACATGATAAAGGTCAAACTTTGGGAAAATGTCAAAACTAAAACAACATGTCAACTCTTATTAGGCACGCTACATCCCTCCCGTCTTTGTGAATGTTGTGTACAATGTGACTGCCTTGCTTACCATTAGATCAGATTTCTGGGAGCAAAGTTCAGATACATCATTTCATTGATCTTCCATGAAGTGACTTTTTGATTTTAAAATAAACTTTAAGGGAGGAATGAAAACTCCAAACATCAAAATTTGAATGTCACTGCCACATAAAAGAAATTCATAACCAAAGTGATACTTTCAGTAAGATTGCCATAGAGAATGGGACTGATATTCTTTCAGCAGGTCTAAGAGACGTTCTGATTGGGATCACCAATATTTCAGCCACAGAGGTCTGGTGGTTTCAGAGCAGATAAGAAACTTCCAACCAAACACATGGAGTTACAAATGAACATGACATGAACTTCTGTTTCAGGTGAGCAAAGGGTTGAGACAAAAGGCTCTGTAGCTCACCTGAACAAGAATCTTTGTAAAGTGATTTTCCATGGTGCATGTACATCTTTATTACAGTGAAACCAAATCATGCCAAACAAGGATTCACATTCACAATCATGGCATTTCTGACGTGAGCGAATTATGTAACTCTGCTCTGTGAATTGCAGTGTCCTAGACAAGTAGGACACCCTTGTGCCCACACTTTCATGGGTGAATATATAAATATGAAGAGGTTATGAGCAAAATGGTTGAGAATACCTGCTGCATCAGTTGTATTTGAACACAGTAATAGCCCAATTGACAGGGATTGGCTTAACTTTAACTTTAAATAATCCACCTTGAAATATTTCTTTTTCAAATGAGTACAAAAGTAACTTTCGTCATGCTTTCAGGTATGAGTGCTGAAAATGTTTTCTAATCATAGAACGCAAAACATTGTCTTATGATAATTATGATGTTCAAGTGACACCTATCAGCAAATCTTTTTACTGTAGTGACCACAACTGTTCTACATCATCTTGTCATTCCATTGAAAAAACTTTGTCTTAACAAAAGGAATCCATGGTTTCACTTCAAAACACATTTTCTGTACAGGCAGCATGTCCACTTATTACAATTAACTTCAAATACAATCCCAGGCCAGGATAATGTCCAATGGCTCCAAGGCTTGTCTAAGATAGCCCGCTTGTTCCATGTACGTAAGTAATGACCTTGCCAAACTTACCTTGTGTCCATGTTGACTTACCTGCTCAACATGTCAACCTGGATCACTTACATATTCATATATTATGTACATTGTTTGAGTTCACATGCTTTGTTTCTTATCTGTCCATGGCTGCACAGACACCAAGCAACAACAGTGTCAGTAAACTACAGTGTCCTGCATCGACTTGTTCAACAGGGCATGCATATGTGCACATTCTAGTATCAACTGATGCATGGCAGCAAGCGCATACAGTTATATCAGTAATCATAGGAAGAAAAAGCATATAAGCTATTGACATCCCAAGCAGAGAATCTTTGTGATCATTTGAGCGCTTGCCACTGAGCTTGCACAACCAGACAAATTAGATCCCTTTTCATCACAGTTGATGTAAGGGATGATTCAAGACATGCACAGTCCAATGTTATATTAGTAGATGCAGACTTGTACAAGGGGAGCTGTTCGCCCCTGGTATCTCGCAATAATCAAGGTCTTGTTAGTAGTAGAATGAATGAATAGATAACCAGAAATACTTTCACAAAGTGCCCATCTGTGAGACTGTAGCTACTGGTCACCTTCATACAGTTCCATTTGGCTGAATCAAGCCACATATGTCAACACAAAGGAATGCAGGAAGCAGCATCATAATATCCTTAGACTTGAACAATATCAGGACCTTTCATATCTTTAATACTGACAAGTAAAATATATTTTCTTATGAGGAACAACTAAAATACTGAACTCCACATATTTGTGAAAGTGTCCGTTTCCGCAGTGGCCATGTCATAGATTTATACTTAATTATACTGCCTGGATGTAATGTTTCAACACAGTCTACATTCACTATCATCACCTTGTTGTTATCCTGCAGCCATGACTGTGTGGCTTGGTTCACCAGGACACAGTCTGGCTTGGTTCACCAGGACACAGTCTGGCTTGGTTCACAAGGACACAGTCTGGCTTGGTTCACAAGGACACAGTCTGGCTTGGTTCACAAGGACACAGTCTGGCTGTTTCCTACAGGTCAACTAACAGCTCTGATTTCATTAATATTCCCAATCCATGCTTAGCCTAAGTAATATTGAATGTTATATATTATGAGTAATTTGATGGTATTTACTGTGGTCTGTATGACTATGACACATCTGCAATGTGTACATGGTTCAATAATAGCGGTGAAAAAGGGTGGCTAGATGTTTGGCATATATGATTCATTATGGTGGTGAAATAGGGTGGCTGGTAGTTTGGCATACATGATTCATTATGGTGGTGAAAAAGGGTGGCTAGATGTTTGGTATATATGATTCATTATGGTGGTGAAATAGGGTGGCTAGATGTTTGGCATACATGATTCATTATGGTGGTGAAATAGGGTGGCTAGATGTTTTATATAGCAGTTATTTGCAGTTCTTACTTCTCTTACAGTTGCTTTTCTTAAGTTTCATTTATAACACATCTTGCATATTTTTTCCATACTATTTTACGCAACCCATTTCACTATGAATAGCTTTTGCTTTTGGACAAGACACGACAGCAATCTCAATGAAACAGCACCAGTGTGTTCTGCTTTCAATGAGGGAAAAATGAGTGCATCTTTTTAAACATTGACGTGAACTAATTCTAAAATTGTGTTGTTTCCTATAAGAAAGAACATGTACACTTCCCCCTTTAAGTATAGGTCAGGCCTTGCATTGACTACAGAGTTATTCTGACATCTAGAGACTGCTTGCTGTACTCATGTGGATGATATTACACAATCTCTAATAAACTATTGGCTGCAGGATAACAAGTGTGTGCCAACATATAATCTAGAGGCCATGTCTATGACTGTCAACGTTATGTAATGCCATCAAACTGTAAACACTATGACGAACACTGATTACACTGTACCACTGCCCTTTGAAGGATGCAAATGCTGTCCCCAACATCAAAGGAATAGAAGTTGTTTCGTTGTTTGTAAACAACACTTCTCATGCACCTGTGCTGAGTACAGTTTTATCATTTGTATTGCTGTCACTACACTATGACATGCAGGTATTCATAGGCTTATATCATGGATAACTGCCTCAACCTAAATTATCATTTCTGATAAAACGTTACTTTAATATTATCCATTAATATTTTGTATGCTTCAACAATGGTGTTCACGCCAGAAAATACAAGCCATATTATTCTTCACCATGTTGAATCTATTGTGGTCAAAAAGAAGATTCATAAGAATACTGAAGATGCTTTTTCTTTGAATAATGTTTCCAAATTTGTTAATTTGCTAAAGATATTATTTTTTTATTGTTTATAATGTTGTGGAAAAAATCTTAATCCCTTATCTTGCTGCACACCAATATGTTAGATTTTTAGATCATGCACTTTCTTTCAAGAAAATTATTTGAGGTAGTAACAATGTAAATTCTTTTTCAGTTTCATGAAATACCATTATTACAACGCCATGAACAAATCTCAGTGAAAGAGTAATGCATCTTCCTTCATCCCTAAGTTCATCCTTTCACTTTGTCAGAGCAGTCATCACTTGGATGACAAACACGCTATAAGCTCACTGAGGCCTGTGGCCCTGGTCAGCTAGAACTTACTGTCCTCTAACAGGCATGTTCCCATTTCAGTACACCAAATTGTGTGGACATCAGGACATCATATGAAAACATCATTTACTTGCCAGGTATGTTATGAATATGAAGAAGTAAGTGAGTTTTGTTTTACGCCGCTTTTAGCAATATTCCAGCAATATCACAGCAGGGGACACCAGAAATGAGCTTCACACATTGTGCCCATGTGGGGAATCAAACCCGGGTCTTCGGCGTGACGAGACTTGGCTACCCCACCGGCCCTGAATATGATGAAACTACATTCTGACAATCTTATTGAAACATACAGATCAAATTAAGGCAAAGTATTATTACAACATATTTAGCTGTGTTTGTTTGTTGTTAAATGCCGCACTCAGCAATATTCCAGCTATAAGGCAGTGGTCTGTAAATAATCTGGACCAGACAATCCAGTGTGTGACATCACAACATGCACCAAACATGTTAGCAGGTCTGACCACCCCAGACCACTGGTTGTCTCTCTGCGTAGTCATCTCTCTTTGCAAGCATGGGATGTTATAAAGCATATACTTAAGTCTCAGTGTTGTTATGGCAAAGGATCCAGAGATATAACTTGTCATTAATTATGTGTGGTCATTTACTGATCCAAGAATTTAGTTCTGTACCAACCAATAGTGTGGCTTAACATGTGGTTAAATTATGAAATCACCACATATGTAACAATTAAAAGATTTACTACCAGCATCACATGTTTAAGTGATGGTAAATGCTTTAAGTGATGGTAAATGCTATGATCAAAATGCAAGGATTTAAGCAGTTATTACAGGTCAAATTTGATTATTCATTATATGATGCTAATGAACACTTCATCTTTAACTAAGAAAAAATAATTTCATTTTATCATCTACTGATACTTTTACCCTTTACGTTTACAAATAATTCACAACATCTGACAAAATTTACATGCAGTAGTCTCATAAGAAATGACTCTAAATGGATTTATGCCTTACCTGGATTGAGCAAAATCAGAAATTTAAGGCACGCATATTCATAGACATCAATCTTAAGGTCCTTTGCCTTTTTTATGAGTTCATAAATTCGAGCCTTGACATCACTCAAGCCCAGTTTGTCCAGCACATCGAAGCCAATCCTATGGCCACTGGCCTGAAACATAAAGCAAGACATTACACTAAAACATATTTTGTATTGTATTGAAACAGTGTATCTGTATGGTTCATTTGTCTCGGTCATATTCCAGAATATTTACAACATCATCAAGCAATTTTATGAAATTAACATGGGGATGAAACAAAAGTTTAAAACTACAGAACCATAGGCACTGTAGTTCACCTGGATATGGTCAAAACATTAAGATGTCGATCTACGCAATTGGGATACGATGACATGTGTCAACCAAGTCAGTGAGCCTGACCACCCGATCCCCCTAGTCACCTCTTACGACAAGCATGGGTTACTGAAGATGAATTCTAACCTGGATCTTCACGGGTCAGATGTCAACAGACACAACACAGGACCTTCTTCATAAATGCTGAGCAAAAAACCCAATCTCTAAATCTTATCATTTGAACAAAATAACAAAACGTTCAGCTTCCTTTGTCTGTCAGTTTAATCGAGAAGAAGCAGAGAACATTGGACAACACCAGGTCATGTAATGAAAACATACATCTGCAGACCCACAACTAAGTACATACTATACTTTTTTCCACTTTTCAACATTGCTGGTGAGGTGATAAAAAGATAGGAATGTTTGAGCATGAGCACTACAAACATTCCACCCTTCACTACATTTTGAACATTAACAGATGAGTAATAGCCTTAGATACTTTCAGCTTCAATGTGGTTGAAATTAAGGTCAAAACTTAATATAGAGTTCTGTGGTGATGATAACGTAAGACTATTAAGGTGCTTGTCTGTGACAAGTAATTCATGTACTAGCAAACTGTAAACAATGATGACTAAACATGTGAGATAAGATGCCTAGGTCGTCTATGTGGCCTCCTCATCCTCATCACAGACTACCTCTAGATTCAAGTCTCATGGATTTCCATGTATAACAATCTCCACTTCAGATTAAGGCAACTTGTAGCCTCTTCAACCTTGGAAAGATCTCCTCCTTGACTTGTCATTTGTAGTTGCATGATTGACTGGAAGAGTGCAAACAAGGGACATGGTCATTACACGGTCTCCATGGCTCCACAAGAGTAAATCTTTCATGGAAAGGACACTAGAGTATTAAGAGATATGTCTCACACTTTGTTGATCATGATGACATAACTGTAGCCTGGATAAGTGGGTTATATCCTACAGAAGTGTCGACTTGTCTAGCAGGGACAACCACCATCTGATCGAAATGTGTAGCTGTGATGGTGCCTTGTTTATCACTAGCTTGTAGACAGAAATCAGTCCTCCAGATGGCAGAGAGATCAAGTGATCAACAGGAAGAAAGCTGCATGTGATGTCCTGGACCTGGTTATATCATACCTTCATAAACTAATGGCAACAATTCACCCTATTGACACATCAAACTTACATCATTAGTTCATGGCATCATTCAAATCAGTTGTATCAAACACTTATGATATCATTACCTAATGATGTCTTTATGTAAATATTTCCATTAACCTCTCATAAAATTTCGTGGATCCCCTAAGTATTTTCCACAATTCCCAGACATACATGCATGCTAGCGGCCATCTCTCAAAATGCCATTGATGCCTCTTAAACCTCTTAACAGAAACAATAATTTTGACAACTCAATAGTTCAGTTACTAGCCGAACTGGTTCAGAAACTCATCTCAGAACTTACTGTAACAGTCAAGAAAACAAGAGTCATCAGAAGATGACATATCCCCCCGGCCCCCACATCTTTGAAAGAACAAAGCATCTGACAGTTACTGAAAGTCCAGCTTAAAGTGCAAATCGTTTCCATGGAAATCATGAAAAAAATAAATGACAAAAATCTGCAAATAGCAAAAGGCACCACTTTGGGATCTGCCTCACATATCTGCCAAGTTTTGCAGAAAGATATTAAGAAGTTTTCCAGTTGTGCTCCGGAAACAAAACCTACCCCTCCCTTTTGAGACTAAGTCCAAATTGTTTCCATGGAAACTGAGAAAATAATAAATCACAAATATCTGCAAATAGCAAAAGGCACCACTTTGGCATCTGCCTCACATATCTGCCAAGTTTTGCTGAAAGATATAGAGAAGTTTTTGAGTTGTGCTCCGGAAACGAAGGGACTAACCCATCCCTTCCTTTTGGGACTAAGTCCGAATCGTTTCCATGGAAACCGGGAAAAATAAAAATGCCAAAAATCTGTAAATAGCAAAAGGCACCACCTTAGGATCTGTTTGATATATCTACCAAGTTTTGCTGAAAAATACTGAACGGTTCTTGAGTTATGCTCCGGGAACGAAGCCCACCCTTCTTTAAGACTAAGTCCAAAACGTTTCCATGGAAACCGAGAAAAATAAAAATGACAATAATCTGTAAATAGCAAAAGGCACCACCTTAGGTTATGTTTGACATATCTACCAATTTTGGTTAAAAAATATCGAACGGTCTTTGAGTTATGCTCCGGAAACAAAATGATTACGGACGGACGGACGGACAGACGGACGAGGCAACGACTATATCCCACCGCATTACATAAAAAGCAATAGGGGCAGATTTTACTGCCAAAAGAGAGTTTGTCTGTGAACCACTAAAGAAATAAACAAAATGAACTAACATGCACCAGACAGCAAAAAGAGAATATAGTAACCTGCTGCTCAACATGAGTTAGACCAGGAGGACATTGACGTTTACTGAATGTCCCACTTTCACTGAACTCACAGGCAGCAAGTCATACAATCTTACTTATTTTGATAACAAATGAAAACATTTTAAGTTTAACCACCTGCCAGAGGTAAAAAATGTTAGGACTGAAGTAACGAAGTCAATGTACGCCTTTATGTTTCGTATTATAATCCTAATTAGTTTGTTATCATATTTGTATGCATTTTAAAACTAAATAAAATGCACACGATCTGCTTATACTTAGTGAATTTATAACATGACTGTAATATCTAGACATCTTATACATTGCCAACGTGTATCATATTTCACACACACGGTCTAAGTGCGACCTAGTGTATGTTGTCTGTCTTATTACACTTCATGGCTAAAAAAATGATTCTGTTGAATGCCATAACAAATAAATTAAAACAAAATGTAAATATTAAAATTAAAACAGACTAAAGTTATAGCAACAATATCAGGCTATTACCTTGTTCGGGGAATGTATCCATCAATATCCACATAAAGGAATGAGATGCCATTCATCTGCAGCTGACAAAGTATCCTGTTCCATGTCATGTGTCTTTTAACAGTCTAATATGTGAACATTTTTCACATTTAGGAGATAAACCTAGTGTGTTTGAAAATAAGAGACATGCTTTACTGAATTGATGGCGACTAAATTTCAATTGGAACCTAACGGCGCCGGTTCCAATTGAAATTTAGTCGCCATCAATTCAGTAACGCTGGTCGGTTCCAATTGAAATTTAGTCGCCATCAATTCAGTAAAGCATGTCTCTGATTTTCAAACACACTAGGTTTATCTCCATTCTACCAAGACCCATTTAAAATCAAACTTCCTCGCTCTGCTGAAGACACTGCATAATCCGGCATGGGACGAGAGTCGAATTGAACTGGTCTGTGAAGGGAGCGGTAGGTGCCGTTCGTATTTTTTTAACATTACAACATGACAATATTCTGTCCAAAGAAATCAAACTACTGTTTATTCAATGCAATTATGTAATACCCGAGATCTTGTGTTTTTTTTCATCCCAACTCCACACGACTAAAACCAGCCTATTGTTTTGTGTGCCGTGAAACAGTATCCCCCTGGCCACACTATAATGGAATCGTCTGACCTACTTTCTTCGAAGTAGACAGTTACGCAACTGTTTGAAATGGCGGACGAGCCAGTGTTTACATTTTGCGAAAGGTTGAAATTTGAAGTGACAGTGGACAATACTTGACTGACTGTTGAATCTGAACCCTGCAGAATCGAAGAATAGATCCTTTCCTGATCAACCTACGACCTGTAACTCATCAAAGACTGTTGATTTTTATGACCGGCCGATCATGATTTCACGTACTGCCTCCATCCCGGCATGCGACAAATGAGTGACAGTGCTGCTGCTTAGTGTACATGCGACTAACTTGTGATTCCTTGGAACTTTGTTTTCATTGTTTGGGACTGGGCGTTTTTCAAAGTAGATGAACATAACAGTGACAACCTTGCGGGGAAGCTGGCAGAGAGCAGAATTATTTTGTGAACGATGCAACGGGATATGTTGGAGTATGACTATGAGTGGCATAAATGTGGTGTTTCGCCAGACAGTTAGATCTATCTTGCAAATTTCCCATTCTAAACGGAATTAAATATACCATTTACCAGGTAGGTAAATGTTTACTAATGTTTTGCTGCATATTTTGTATAGATAGGGATGTATTTTTACAAGGCTTTCTGATTTATATGTTAGATATTGTTTTGTTTATGTTTGGGGCTGTGTATTGTAATTGAGTTTGAATATTTTTATAATAGAAGGTAATGTGATAGTGAGGTTCCCTCTCCCCTGACGTAGAAATCTCCCATGAGAGACAATGGCACCTGGCAATGTATCTTCTTCCACCCAGGGGGAACAAACATTTTTACCAACTGCATGTGGAATACATCCCCTGATAAGAATAGGTCGCTAGGTTGGAATCACATGAAGATCCCAGCTGATGGAGCGGTGATGAAACAAAGCTGATTCTGAAACATCTGAGGAACTATGTGAACTTGAGTGCAGTTGTCTATGTCTTGAGCACAATCCCTCTCTGATGGAGGAACCGTCATATAGTCAAAAGCCACAGGGCCATAGAAATGCCAAACGACCCTCCACTGGATGTTTGTTCTCTGAACAGATCGAAGGTACTTCCGATACTGCGATTAGATCAGCGCCTTGTAGATGAGGCTGATCATGTCGTTCCCTGGTTTGATGATGATACAGCTGAAAAGGGTCGGACATCAGTCGGGGGAGTGATGATAGATCCGTAGTCTGCAGCCCTCTGGGTGATGAAATTCAAGTCAAGATTTTAAAGGTAAAGGATGT